CATAATGAATTAATTTTCAGCTTTTCCACGGGTATCTCAAGTACTAATCATCGCATTTCAATGAAACTTGGTACATAGATCCTTTAGGACTATGCAGAGCCCTGATTAGTTTTAGGGTAAATAATTGTGCATATTAATTACTAATTTGCATAATTAATTTTCAGCTTTTCAACTGATATCTAAAGTACTCATCATCATATTTCAATGAATCTAGAATTATGCAGACCCAATTAGTTTCCGGTAAATATTTGTGCATATTAATCACCTAATTTGCATAATTAACCAACTTTCACACTGATATCTAATTTGCATAATAATCAGGCAAATTTGAACTGTTTTGGTTCTATCTCAACACGTTTTCTTAATGAAACTTTTTAATGCATTTGGTGTATACCTGATATGGTTTGTTTTAATAATTGCATACAATCAGTATTTTAAAGTGATATTAAACTTTGTACTAATGGATACATTATTAGGTACATGAGCGAACTGTTTCCTTGGTATTACAGGTAAACACAGTTGCAAAGGTGATTAGTTGTGGAAATGGTGGACCAAAACAATTATCATCAGGATTGATCATGCAAATGCAAGAGTTTGCTATTGCAGACAGTACATCATCGATGCTCATAGCTATATGGGGAGAACAGATTGACAGCATCAAACTTAATTCCACCTACAAGTTCAACGATGTAAGTGTACGTGAATTTCAAGGTACCATTCAACTGACTTCCACACCGGATACTACTATAACAGAAACCACGCCACTAACAGATGTGAGTACTGATAATACACCTGGCATGCAAATGAATACCATCAGAGGAACAATCATATCTGCTGAGTGTACAGCAAAATATTACTGTCACTGTAAAAAGCAACTGGTAGATTATGCTCCAGAGATGTCAACTATCAAGTGTCCATACTGCTCTCAACGAACAAAAACAAGCCATCTTTTACCAAGTATTAAAGCATACATCAACATCACATCAGACTCTGGCAAGATGCATAAACTTACTGCATCTGAAGTCATCCTGCAAAAACTGTGCCCTCAACATGACTTAAAAAGAACAGATGAAACTGAAGAGATCTTACTTGATGCTGAAGAGCAAGAATTTCAAGTTTCTGGTTATAATATCATTAGCATTTCACCAGTCAATGCTCATAATGATTTACCACTGGTACCTGCCGAGAATTACCAAAGTAGTCCATGATATTTCAATGGCCTTAAACACCCATTAGATGCAATGCATCCATGTTCGTCACTGGAGGTGATGGGGTAATTTGTTGAGTTTTGAAATTTGAAACTGATGATTTTATTACCAGTGTTTACCATGTTTATTTCATATACAATCTATGTATATACATTGTTGTGTTCACCATTATATACTTTATGCTAAAACATTCAGTGTTTCCACTATAAGCTGGTACACATTTTCGGCAACACATTCATGTTCTCTTCAGATGAAACTGAAGAGATCTTACTTGATGCTGAAGATCAAGAATTTCAAGTTTCTGGTTATAATATCATTAGCATTTCACCAGTCGATGCTCATAATGATTTACCACTGGTACCTGCCGAGAATTACCAAAGTAGTCCACGATATTTCAATGGCCTTAAACACCCATTAGATGCAATGCATCCATGTTCTTCACTAGAGGTGATGGGGTAATTTGTTGAGTTTTGAAATTTGAAACTGATGATTTTATTACCAGTGTTTACCATGTTTATTTCATATACAATCTATGTATATACATTGTTGTGTTCACCATTATATACTTTATGCTAAAACATTCAGTGTTTCCACTATAAGCTGGTACACAACCTAAGTTGCTGCTGATATATTCATTCAAGTTGGTAGTTTCTTTGTTCCATCCATATCCTCTGATCATTACTTTGTTTTAAGGATTTAAAGTTTAATGATAATAAATATAGGCTGTTATCTGTAATCATATGTGCTCGGAATTTTTGAATTTGTTATTAGCAACATATATTGGATTCAGAACACTGTACAAGTTACCTCTCCCTCTCACAATGGTGCACTTTTCCAGTGCAATATACATGTGCACATATCTGACTGGCCAAAGCAGATGAATTATTGACACAGTTATTGGTCTATTGTCTTAACGTACATGTAAGCTATCACAAAACTTTCTCATCTTGATTTGTTTTAGAGGAACATACATGGTATAACTGGAATTGATATTTCAGTCATTGAGTGACTATGCACGAGCCGCATTATTTGCACCATTTCCAACTATAACAGTTTTTCACATAATTTGGCAACAAAATGCGAAAATGCAACAGGCTCATTTAGAACTGAAAAGTTTCACTAAAACAAAAGTTCAATAATACAATAATCATGATTAATAACATCAAACAACTCCTTAATTATGAATGACTATAAATGGTTATTATGTCTGTTGATTCCAGTGTGCTTCATAATAGCAAAATACCAGAGGACTTGTTAAGAACATTGCATTCTAGACA